TAATCCAGTGAGCCACAAAGGAAAGGAAGTTCCAGCTTAGAATCACCCCTGCAGTCAGGCCCAGGATTTGCTGTGGCCAGGGGTAGCCATGACCAAGAAGACAGTGCGGCTCAGGACCTGCTGTGTAACGTCACTGTCACGAGTCTTACCTGGTCTCTCATGAATTGACCCCTGAAGGATATTTCTGACCAAAGCCTTAGCAACCTGGCCCCTTTCCAGAATGTCTGCAGTATTCAGACAAACCATCCTGTTCTCCAGCAAGTGTACCCTCATGAGCATCAGCTGTGTCCTCACAGTGGCGCCCCAAAGAGGGCAAAGTGACTCCGACCAGAGCAAATACATCTTGTCATAATGATCACCTGGCTGGGGAATGGGCCATAGAAGATAAACATACAGATCCTGGGGACCTTGCCAAAACACAGATTGACCAGGGCCCTGGAGATTCAGATTCTATAGATCTGAGACAGGACCTAGGAATCCATATGTTTAACAAATGCCACAGTGGATCTTGATGGTCAGACAAGTTTGGGAAACAGTAGAGTGGGGGTGGAGTCAGAATCCGGCTCCAGTTCAAATTTGGATTCTTCCAAGTAATTGCTGGGTAGCCTAAGACAAGTTAAGTTGGTCTGAGCCTCTGACCCCTCATCCATAAAATGTAACTCATAATAATACTTCAGAGGGCTGCTGTAAAGGTAAAATGGAAAATCCATAAAATGCGCTTAGCATAGTGCCTGGTACATTTTAAGCACATAAGAAATGTGCAATGTAAGCACCTCACATTTTTTAACTTTGTCATCAGTCAGCCCCTTCACACACAGCAGGACAGTTTGGGGTGTGGCATCAGTGTGACCAGACATGAAGCTTGACCTTGAACCTTACTGCAAGGGCAGATTGAAGGGAGATAAGGACTTAAAACTGAATACTTTGTAGTGAGGTTGATCATAGTTTAAAGAAAAAGAAGGGCCGAAAGGCAACAGGTGTGTCTGGAAAGAGCCACAGATCTTGAAACCCAAGGAGAGAAGATTTCTGCTATATGGTCAAGGATAAACAGACCTCAAAAAGACAGGGAAAGTATTCAGGCAAACTTGAGATTTCCAAAGAGAGACACAATTTGCTGGAAATAAATTATTTTTATTTGATTCCCTTTTAGCCTCAGAGCCAAAGTTTAGAGCATTTATAAGTCATCTTCATTTGCCTCATTTATTTAGCAGGCATCAGGATTCTACTAGGTGTCATGCCCTGTCCTCCTAACAGAGGTTACAAAGGTGAAATACCCACCTTGGGAAGCTCACTGTGTGTCACAGGGCACAGGCAAATAAGCAGTGACAGCAGTGGTATAAAAGCAGGGCTATCAGGTGGAGAACAACTAACCTAACAACTAACTAACAGAAAGCAAAACCTCTCAGAGGAAGTTTTTTTTCCAGTTGCATTGAGATAGATTGACATAAAACCTTGTGTAAGTTTAAGGTGTACAGTGTAATGATTTGATAGATGTATGTATTGCAAAGCAATGATCACAGTCAGAGGCAGTCTTGAGAAAACGATTTCATAACAGTTACATCACCATTAACATAATCTTCAACTCGTAGTGGTAACAATTGCTAATGTTCATCAATGCTTATTTTGTGGCAGATTCCTTGTGAGACCCTTTACATTACCTCTTGTCGTGTGTAAAATGGCTGCCTCGTGCAGTTCCTTTGTTTATTGACCTGTGTGTGCACCATCTCGTCAGAGCTGGTTCTAAATGCCATTGCAGCACAACTGGTAAACGATGACACTCCCAGAACATTCCCCTCTAGCTCTCTTCCTGATACAATAGAGAATTCACTAACTAACAAGAACTAGAATTGACTGCATTTAGTCCTAGCCTGAATCTTTGACCAAAATTACCTTCCCAGGGTCCCACTGCCTACATTCAGCCTGCACAGGAGGATGTAAATAGTGGAGGGTCTCACTGGGCTTAGGGCAACATCCCGTCCTCGTAAGTGCAAAGCCCTAAGCTCACACAGCCTAGTAATAAACACTGTCATGTTCCCCGTGGGAAAAGATGTGCTCTTGCTTTCAGGGTAATGGCTAGCAATAATAACTGAAAAAAATAATAACTATAATAAGAATATCTAACATTTACTAAGCTTTTATAGTATATATTTAGTATATTGCATGCACTAACTGATTTAAACCTTGCATGCATAGACACTATCACTGCCCCCATTTTATAGATGGAGGAACCAGGTGCAGATATTTGCCATAGTTAGCAAGTTGAGTACAAGGTTGCACATAAGTAGGAAAGATGAGATTGCAGCCAGATCTAGTCTTGGGGTCCTGTTCTTGGGCAGGCCCACCCCAAGGAGGCCTTCTCAGGATACTGCAAAGCAGGAGTTCTCCAGTATTTGCAGGATCAAAATTAAGTTGTTTGGAATGACCATCCCCAGTGCACCCTGACTTCTCCCCCAACTCAACACACCGCAGCTCAGCTTTGCTCCACCCACTCCCAACAGGCAGATCGGAGCTCTTTAGCTACACAGGCTGTGTCTCACTTTTGTGCAGTGGTTCCCCCGGCCCCAGGGCCTTTCCCTTTCTCTCCATTGCCTGTTCATCTCAAGGTCAGCACCCATCTCAGAGAGTTCCTTCCCCAGGAAGCTTGTCCAGACTTGCTAAGGGCCGTCCCACTGCTCAGCCATTCCTTCCTTTACAAATTCCAGAAGACTGCGGGCTCACTGAGGCCAGGGGCTGCAGCTAACTACTTTAGAACAGCAGCATTTAAAAGCCCCTGTATAAATATATTGGAGTGTTCATTATCTGCTTATTGTCACCCTGAGTTCGTTTTTCCCTCACTGCTCAGCACTTATAGACATTAAGGATAGCTTTGACACTAATTAAAATTAGCAACTTAGCATGACACCTCTGTTTGCTAAAAAGGCAGTTTTATTCATTGCATTTTACTTTTGGAACCAGCACCCTTTGGAGCCTGGTGCAAATCTGCAGCCTCTCCTTGAGGACTCCATTTGTTCCTTTTATGTCTCGATTCATCACATACTGTGGAGACTGTTAGCTGAGGAGCACATTTGCTTATGAAAATGTTACCAAATGCTGATACTATCAAGAGGAAAGCACCAGATGTCTGTCTGCAAAGAAAGCAAAATCCTGGTTTGTGACGAGTCAGGGGTAGCTAGGGCTCCCCAGGCATTTCCGGGCCTGAGGTTTGGCTCTGCATGCTCCCTTGGGGCCTCATAATTGACCCCCACATTCCATCTCAGTCATCATTCTGGAGAAATTTGTCAGCTTTACTGCTGATCTGTGCCTGGAAACTGGTGTCCATTAGTGTTCCCAGTTTTAAGCTGAAAATTGAGACACACTTGCTGGATAATTTTGACCAAAACAGCACGTAGGATTGTATGCTGTCCTATGATTGATTTAATTTTACTCTTCTTTGAGCTATCACAAATTTCTTAAGGTGTATACAGTTATCAGTGAAACAAGTCATTTACAGTTAGAAATTATGTAAACTTGCCAAACCAACTGAAAATAATATTTTAGTGCCCGACTCAAGGCAAGGGGTCATAAAAGAAAACGTTGTCGGATTTGTAGCAAGGAGTTGGAGGGGTGCATGTTCTAGATAATGGTAATAATAAAGACAGGATATCAAGGCAACTAGTCAAGTAGACTTAAGGGGATTTTCATGAAATGCTATTTTCCTTCTGGGCACATTAAAATCAATGTGCAATGCATTATCTATTCTAGGCAAATGTGTATCCTCTTTGTTTTCTGTCATAATTCTTTATTGCATTTGGCAGCAAATGAGCTTCTAATATTAACATTTAGAGAGAGAATAGAAAGAAATCATAGCTGAGAAGTCATAGTTGTACAGAATTTACAGTATTAACTCACCAAACCCCCCAAAGCCTAACTTCACTTGGAAAAAATGCTCTCACTGATATGCCCAGACTAAAAAAAAAAATTTTACAAAGGTTAGAATTCTGCAGGGCTTAGTGAGAGGATCCTCACTTCATCTGTTGGGTTCTATATTATGAACACCACACCCGACAGCTGCTTCCTCCTGGTGGCTCAGTGGGAGGAGCTAGTGAAAAAGCACATTGATGAGTGGACAAGGGGCTGGTGGACAGGACCTGCCTGACTCTGAAATTCAGGGAGACAGGAGTGGGTCAGCTCACTGCCCAATGCATCTGTGTTTTACTCCTTGCCCTTTGTTCATAATCAGAGAGAGATTTCTTAGCGTTGTTTCTGCAGACTTCTATTGAGGACCAAATGCATGAGCAACTTCCCTGCTTTCAGGTGATGCCCAGAGTTTACTGTGAGCCTGGACTACATTGCTCCTCAAAGGAGGTGCAAAATCCTAGATAAATCCCCTTGTCCACCAAGCTCAGATAACAGCTGCATAGTTTTGTAGCAAAACAACCTGCTTCAGCAGTTCAATGACAACTGCATTGATCATTTTCCATTTTTCCTGTTTTTAATACAACCTAATAGTGGCATCCATACAACTATAACCGCTCTTAGAATAGATGATTCATTGCCCATCACATGTCACAAAGTTATGTGTCCCTCCTATACAACTTTTCAGTTCCCTTCGTCCCTTCCCCTGTCCCAAGATTGCTCACATGTTCATTTCCAAGAATAAACTTGGACTGAACTGTTTTTAACGCTGTTTTGAAAAGAGAATTTATGTCCTCTGCATTTTCACAAGCAGGGCTCAAGCTTGGACTCAGATGTTATAGGAAGGCAATTTTCCATTGTCACTGACCATGTCTAGCCGTGAGACCAGAGGTGACTAACACTGGGTTTCCATGTGCTCTTATATTTATGAGTTCTTTTTAGAGGGTAGGTACAATTTTAATTTTAAAAAGAAAAAGAAAACAAGGGAGAGGATCATTGTGAGGTTGAGCTAGGTCACATTTTGTCACTTGAAAGTGAAATTGTAAGAGTCACATCAGACCATTTTTACAGGGATGACTAATGGTTTTCTTCTCTTTCTGTTCCAGCCACACCAGCTATCTCTGGCAGGGTGTCCCAGAGTCTCCAAAGAGTTAATCCAGGCCTGGAGACAAGTAAGAATTTCAGTACTTTTTCTGTCATCAGTCAGTGATCTTGTCCATGCTTTACGCTATTCAAGCTACTATTTTTTTCTCTGCCTTATTCGAGATTTGGTACTTGAATAAATGACTGATTGAATTTGCATAAACAAGTTAAAAAAAAGTATATTTTTTAAAAAATGTCTTTTTCAGCTTCTCTACTAGAGTGCTTCTTCATCTCTCTAATGTGCTTATCTTTAGAGGTTAAGTAAAGCCAAATTAATATGAAGGGAGAAAAAAAGATAAAATAATTGTAGACTAACAATTAGTTTATTGAATTTAGGAACCTGTCTCCTTTTACAAATTGTGTATTATGTTGTCATTAGTATCTTGAGATATTTATTTACCTGGTGAATGCATTGACAGTAAAGCTTTCCCTTCAACCATATCTTCTTATGCTCCAAAATTCTGCCTTCAAGCGAACTATCTCTTCTCCTTAAAACACCTTTGCACATCACTCTCTTGTCCTCTGACAATCTCCTCTTCATCCCTAAGACTAAACTCGGACATCAGCTCTGTGCGGAAGCTTCTCTAAATCGGCTAGAGCCAAAGACTTGTTCTGCCTCTGTGCTCCCGTGGAATTTTGTCCATGATAGATCCACTTCATGGTGTCTGAGTGTATATGCTGGTACCAGGCACAGAACTCAAAGAGTCAAATGGGCTGCATGAATTAATTAATTATGTTGAGCTTTAAGACAAGGCCCACTTTTTATGCTTCTTTTAAATTCCTCACGTGACCAGTAAAAACTCCTGATCAATAGTAGGTGCCTTTAACTGAGTTCTAGGTAAAGATGTTCTCATCACTTGAAGTACATGCCAGGGTCCACATTATAGAATAAAGGAAGGGAAGTCTGTGCACCTAATGGAGTTTAAGCCATTGCTGTCCCACTGGTAATTCTGGTGTCATGAAACCATAATTTGGATTTTATAACTAAATTACAGAGCAAATATCTAATATGAGATGTAAATCCTGCGAAGTGACACAAAGGGAGGGTTAGTGCTGTTTTTAACTAAGGTCATCCACCTGCCAGTGGTGCCAGGCCAAAAACTCTTTAACCCTCCTGTTTTAGAAGCCTCCGACATGTTCATCTGTTCCCCAATAAGCCCCTAATATGAGGGGTTGGAAAAGGGGTGGCTTTTTAGTTACGTTTGGGTTCTCCCAGCCAGTATTTTTCAAAGCCTTTCCACAGCAGATAATGTGACTTATTGCTACTTTCTGCAAGGAAGTGAGAAAGACTCAGTTAAAGAATGTCTTTCTATGTATAGAATTGTTGAATCACTGTATTGTGCGCCTGAAATTAATATAACACTGTATTCCAACCATACGGGAATTAAAATTAAAAACTTAAAAAAAGGAGAATGTTTTACTAATGGTGCATAATCCATCTCACATTGGTCTCTCCTCCACACACACAAACAAAGAACTCTGCTCTTCACTTTCTCCCAGAGGAGTCGTACGATTTTTCCCATTTTCTTTGTAAAGTCACGTTGGGCCTTGTTGCAATACAACCTCTGGGTATGGCAGATATGTTGAAGAAATTCCTGCCAAGTCATTTGGCACACGTTGATTTTCTGTCTTTGTGATAAGCAAGAATACCAATTATCCTTTATCTGTGATCTATCACATAGAGTCTGACTTGCCCACACAAGGAAGAGTACTATCCTTCAAGCTTCTCCTTATCAAGGGTTAGCTCCCCTCCAACCCAGGACTGATGGGATAAAGTTACTCCTGTCAGTGGATATGTCTACCAGTGCGCACCTTATACAGGGCACATGCTTGGACACATGGCCACCTTTCTCATCCAAGCATCTCACTGAGATGCGACAGACCCTGGTGTCTTATACCTCACTGTGTTCACTGTCACTGTATCGCAAGTGTTTAATTCTTTGCTCTGCACCCTGGGGAGGAAAGACATGAGTAACATGTTGTCCTAACATCAGCGATCTCATAGTCTCACTCAGGAAGTAACTTTACACTAGAAGCTAGTGTTCAACATGAGATGGCCTGTCATTACACAATTGTAATTCCTACATTTCCTATGTGCACTTTTCTAAATTCTCAGATTCAGAGAAAAACCCCCATGGAGGAGAAAAGAATTACAACCCCCTCAGAGCAAATTCCAGACAGAACCGACCTAACATAAATAGATGCCGCCACACCTCTGCAGGCCACCTGGACTTTATTCTGAGGCTATTTTAGTAACCACTGAGTAGCACTCTCCTTCCTCTCCCCTTCTCCCCCTACTCATCTCTCCCTTCTTGTATCCATCTTCCTCTGGCAATGACAATTTTAAGAACCCAAAATATCACTCTGCTCTAAACAACCCAAATTTCAAACTTCAAACCTACCCCAGGCCACTGAAATCCAACATCCCTCATCCCAGATTATAAGTCTACACTACTTACCCCTCAGGAACACTGTGCTTTCCCTCCCCTGGGACTTTGCTCATGTCATCCCATCTTCCAAAACAGTCCTTCTTCCATCTCACCCTGCATTCTGTAGGGTGGCCTGAAGCAGTGCTTCCCTTTTCCATGATCATCTTTGAGGGAGATCATGCTATTTGATACCACTTTTAAGGAATATATCAAATGCTGCTTTGCAGTATAGTTATTTGCATATTTCTCTTATCTCCCCATCTGGATTATGAACAGCTATTCTTATTCAGAGTTGTATAACCACTGGACCTAAAATGATACCTTTAACATCATACCTTGAACAGTACCTTGCATATGAATTAATTAAATGGAAGCACCCTCCATAGCTCCCTGGTTACCCATCCTTCTCCACACTTAACAATTCCCCCAAGCACCCCTTGTTATGGGGCCTCTGGGCTGGCAGGATCAAATCTCCCCACTTGTGTTAATTACACATTAATTACCATGTTCCTTGTGGAAAGGACTCCTAGGAATCAAATGGTTTGTGCTCCAAGGACAACCTCCTTACAGGCAAAGGCTACAATAAGGCAACAGTAGAAGAAGGGTGTGCACTGGCTATGGTCTAACCCAAGTGTGGGCCTCTTTATCCCCTCTGTGAAACACAGGATGTTCTTTGTCTCCAGATTTGGAACCACTACCTAATTGCCTGCCAAGCACCTCTGATCAGGAAGTCCAAAGTCTTCTCATGATGGGTTTCCTATAGTGAGCTGGTGATTTAGGCATATTCTGTCTGTCTGGACAACCTTAACCATCAACCAAAGACTTTAGGTGCAAATCGTACACCTAATTATATTGCAAAGCAGAACTCACAGATTTTTATATCCTGCACATCTTTCTGAAGATTTTTTTCCCTTCATTTTAAAAAGTCATTCCTTTTCACTTAATTTACTTCATATTGCTGTGAGAGTGTAAATTTTGTGATCAATGGCATTTCCACCTCAAATTAAAATGAATATCCAACCAGAGAAAAATATTGAAGTTTCATTGACTGGCATTTGGAGCATAAATGAGTCCAAGATTTTATGAAAATGGGCATTCTGAACATAAGCATAATGACTGAGCTCAGAGTTAAGTTTTGAAAGGATTCCAAAAGATTATCATCTTAGATGGGCACAACACATGAATTGCTTACAGTTTTATAAGTTCACCAACTACTTCCTTGACATCATAAGTTCCTTTTCAATAAAAACATGATTATGAGGCAGAAATCTGATACAGTCGCCATCACCTTTGCGGGTCCTTATCTTACATTCTTAGCCAGATTCCTGTCCTCACCTGCTAACTTCTCTCTCTTACCTCCTGTTTTGCCCTATTCCAAGCAATCCTGCTGTCTGCTCCCATATATTCGTTCTTCCTGCCTACGTCTCGTGCAGTGATTCTTATGCCTGAATACCTTCAGTAGCCCCCCAACTCTTTTCTACCTTCTGAAGAAGCTCATCTCCTTGGCATTCAAGGAGGTCCATGATGTGGATCCTAAGTGCTTTTCTAGCCTTATCACCCTCGTATGCCATGGATGCTCATGTTCATCTCTCTGCATTTCCTGCTTCATTTTTTTTTTTTAAAAAAGACACATTTATTCAGCGTCATGATCAGACTATTACATTTAGCAATCAACAGCATGGGTGCAAAAAAAAAAAAAATCTACATTAAAACCCTTTGTTGGAATGCTTTACACTTTCCACAGAACAGAAACTAAAATAACCTGTTATACAATTAGTCACAAATACAGTCCTCGAGTTTTTTGCCCATACACATGAGTATTGTCTAAAACATGTCTTCTTTGTAGCAGCTAGGCCCTGCCACCACTGTGCTTGGCTGAGTTCACAAATCTGTTGTAACCTATAGCTTCCCTGTCACTTCTCTGGCTCTCCTCTCCTGGTAAGCTTTGTTTCCTGGCAGTAATTAAAACCTTCTGCCACTGCCATAGCTACTGCTGCTGCTGGAACCGCCACAGCCACCTTGGTTTCGTGGTTTGGCAAAGTATTGGCCTCCACCACCATAGGGGCCAGAGCTTCTGCCTCCAAAATTTACTCCTTTCATGGGTCCAAAATTTGAAGACTGATTGTTGTAATTGCCAAAATCATTATAGCTTCCACCACCTCCAAAGTTGCTTCCATCATTACCAAATCCGTTATAGCCATCCCCACTGCCACCATATCCACCACCACCTCAACTGCCACCAAAGCCACCACGCCCACTGAAGTTTCCTCCATGACCAAAGTTGTCATTCCCACCAAAACCACCTCCACGACCACCACCGAAGTTTCCAGAACAACTTCGACCTCTTTGGCTGGAGGAAGCACTAGCCATCTCTTGTTTAGACAGAGCCTTCCTTACTTCACAGTTGTGGCCGTTCACAGTATGGTATTTTTGAATAACAATCTTGTCTACAGAGTCATGGTCATCAAATGTTACAAAAGCAAAGCCTCTCTTTTTGCCACTGCCTCGGTCAGTCATGATTTCGATCACTTCAATTTTCCCATACTGTTCAAAATAATCTCTTAGATGATGTTCTTCAGTGTCTTCTTTAATGCCACCAA